GACTGACAATGGTGAACCAAAGTGCTATGATGAAGCAATGCAAGTGGAGGATTCAGTCAAGTTGGAGTCTTCCATGAAAGATGAGATGGACTCGCTTATGTCAAATCAGACGTGAGAATTAGCTGAATTACCACCAGGCAAGAAAGCACTCCATAACAAGTGGATTTACCGGATCAAAGAAGAGCATGATGGGAGCAAACGCTACAAAGCAAGATTGGTTGTCAAAGGCTTTCAGCAAAAAGAAGGTATTGACTACAATGAAATTTTCTCTCCAGTCGTGAAGCTATCTACAATTAGACTGGTGTTAAAAATTGTAACCGAAGAGAATTTACATCTTGAGCAGTTAGATGTGAAGACAACTTTCCTTCATGGTGATTTGGAGAAAGAAATCTATATGAGGCAGCCATAAGGCTTCATAGAGACAGGCAAGAAAAACCTGGTATGCAGGTTGAAGAAGAGCTTGTATGGTTTAAAACAAGCTCCTAGGCAGTGGTACAAGAAGTTTGATAGCTTCATGGGTAGCAATGGTTTTACCAGATGCCAAGCTGATCATTGTTGCTACATCTAGAGGTTCGATAATAGCTTCATTATTTTATTGTTGTACGTTGATGACATGCTCGTTGCAGGCTCAGACATGCAAGAGATTATAAACTTGAAGCAAAAATTGTCAAAGCAGTTTGCTATGAAGGATCTGGGCGCTACAAAGTAGATTCTTGGGATGAGGATCAAGAGAGACACAAAGTCGGGGACTTTGATATTATCACAGGCTGAGTACATCAACAAAGTACTCTCCAGGTTCAACATGCAAGATGCTAAACCAGTAAGTACACCTTTAGGTGTTTATTTCAGACTCTCCAAAGAAAAGTCACCAAAGATGGAGGAAGAACGTGCACACATGGTGAAGGTGTCGTATGCCTCAGCAATTGGAAGTCTGATGTATGCCATGGTTTGTACCAGACCAGATATTGCTCAAGCAGTGGGAGCTGTTAGCAGGTACATGAATAATCCGGGCAAGGTACACTGGGAAGCAGTCAAATGGATCCTCAGATATCTGAGGGGTACCACAAACAAAGCACTTTGTTTCAAAGGTGGAGATACGATACTGACAGGCTATATAGATGCTGACTTAGCCGAAAATGTTGACATCAGAAGGAGCACTACAGGGTATGTCTATACTCTAGGAGGAACCGCAGTGAGTTGGGTTTCTCAACTACAGAAGATAGTTGCTCTCTCCACAACTGAAGTAGAATATGTCGCTGTTACGGAAGACAGCAAGGAGATGGTTTGGCTCTAAAGTTTCTTGGAAGAGTTAGGCAAGAAACAAGAAAACAATGTCTTGTATTGCGACAGTCAAAGTGCTATACATCTAGCAAAGAATCCGTCTTTTCATTCCAAGACAAAGCACATACAATTGCGATATCATTTTATCCAGTCTCTTCTGGAAGATGGGATTTTGAAACTTGAAAAGATCAGTGGAGCTCAAAATCCGACAGACATGTTGACAAAGACGGTGACTACAGACAAACTGAAGTTGTGTTCAACTTCAGTTGGCATGCTAGAGTAACAAGACTAGAAAAGTTGTTGCATTGATCGAGGTGTGAAGACAAATTAAATCAGTCTTCAAGTGGGAGATTGTTGAAAGTATTAAAATGGTTTTTGAAGTTTGGTAACCAACTTTGAAAAAATGGTTTTCAAAGTTTGGTAAATGTTTCTTTGAAAATGGTTTTCAAAGTTTGGTAAATGTTTCTTTGAAAAATAGTTTTTCAAAGTTTGGTAGATGTTTGTTGAAAAATGATAATGGGATAATCACAATTAATCCCTAGGCTTTAGGGTATTTATAAGATTAAGTCTTTAAGTTTCAACTATAAATACCCTAGCTCATTTAGCTTCAAAACCATCCCAAAAATCATTTTTTTCTCCCAATACTAGAGAGCTTTCTTGTGAGTAGTGAGTGTTTTGTAAACACCTGTAAATTTTCTCTCTTAGTAAAAGATCTGCAGTAATCCGGAGACGTAAGTACAATTGCCTGAACTCCGTTATCAATTTCGGGTATTATTTTTCCGCTTTTATTTCGCATTCTCACTAATCTGGTTATAAGAAAATTACTCGTACTCGGTTTATTTCCCAATAAACTGGACCCCTCATTTCACCTTGTTCATATATTCTTCTTATGTCTTACCTTTTAAACTATCTCAAAATCAATCCACTTTTAACCTCTATGTCAATTTTATCTTATTTTTCACTCGATTCATTGTTCTTTTTAGAATCTTCTACGTATCGTGATTCTTCATTATTGATAGCTTTAGATCAAATTCTTATCGATGTGTCGATTGATGAAATGAATGAAGCTTCGACATAATTTTTCACAAGTCGATGAAAATTTGTCGTTGGAGGATGAACAAGAATGATTTTTTTTGTGTGGGAAGGTTGAGTGATAGATGATGATGAAATGGAATGAAAATTGATTAATAGGGATTAAATTGGTAGAATATTAAAATATTGAGGGTTAATGTTTTTAAAAAATAAGACCAAATTAATATAAAATATAAAAATTAAGAGTTAAACTTGTTAATATACTAAATTACATAATCTCATATCACTTTTTTTTTACGAAAAAGAATCAATTTAGAACTTTTATTAACTTGGATGATCATTTATAAATTTTCATAATCAGAAGACTTAGCAAAAATAGATTTTAATTGGGAGACTATCTATGTAGTTTACCCAAAGTGAAAACACTTTACTAACCTCAACAACCTTTCCTTCTGTTTTTGGCTTAATTAGAAAATAAGTGCTCAAGCTATATCACTTTTTTCAAATAGGCTTGTAATTTTTTTTTGATTCATCCAAGTGCCTAAAAGTTACAAACGTTACTATTTTAGGTGTCTGATCCGTGACGACCGTTAAAAAAACTCGTTAAGTGACATATATCAAGTTCTGGTAACTTTGAAATTTTTATATTTTAATTTTTTTAAATATTATTATTATATTTAAAAAATTAAACTTTTATGTTTTACACAAATTATTGCACAACTTATAAAATCTCTTATTCTAATCTTCTCTACTCCGGTAATCGATCATCTCCAATCACCCATCCATTGTCAAACAACCATCCATTCGTTGTTGGCCACCCAATGTCGGCCATCACCATTGCTATCATCTCAAACCTCTATTATTACTTATCTATGTGTCTGTGTGTGTTTCGGTACAATTTGCTTTAAGGGGTATTATTAGTTATACTTTATCTTAATCTTTGGTCAATAGTTTTCTAGGTTTAGTTCGGAAAACCTAAGATTTAGGCCCTGTTTTTAATTTGAACTTTTGCCTGTTTCCTAGTTTTACTGCTGCAAATGGTACTTGTTTTCTGGTATATATATATATCTGTGCAATTGTTTTGCTTAGAGGATTTATCATCTCATTTTGCAGTCACACAAATTCATGCATATAACTTCCATTTCCAACATTTCTTGTCAATTTAATCAAGGCAAATCTCTGCTGCCTTACGAACACGGCCGGCTCTGGGTATTTTTTAGCCCGGGATAAAATAAAAGAAATTGGCTCCTAATTTTAAAAAATTATAAAAAATATATAGTATAAAATTGATATTAATTTTTTATTAAAATTAACAAATAATAGCAACCATTCTGCCCCAGCCCAGGACCCGTTCCTCTTCCAAATGGCGATGTTGATGTATCTATGCTTAAAAAATATATAGTATAAAAATTATAAAACTTTTATGTGCCCTATGCTTAAAAAATATGTAGTATAAAAATTATAAAACTTTTATGGGGCCTGGGCGGGAGCCCCTTCTGCCCCGGCCCACAGCCGGCCCTGCTTACGAATATGCTACGACCGGAGCTATTAATGCCGGTGAAACTTCGGTTTTAGCAGCAGGGAATGCGAGGAAGGAAGCAAGGAGGGAGCAGATGGTGAATCTAGAAGTAAAAGAAGGTAAGAAACATAGATGATACACATGATTTTCTTATCCCAAAAGTATTAATAAAATCGAGATCAGACCCCTAATTTATGTTGAATAACTGTGATCTGTTTCCTTCAGAAAACGAGAATCAATCAAGTGATGTGAGCACCTTAGGGGAATGCATACAAGAACTTCGTGTTGTAGTGCAAAGTTCTACTGATTCCGAGATTATTGGAGACGGCTTTCGATGGAGAAAATATGGGCAGAAGGTGGTTGAAATTATACACTTTGGATACGTACATACATATGCACGTACATACATGGATATATATTTACAGATCATACAGTGGAACTCCTAGGCTTAATTTGGCAGTCTCTAGATCTTTGCTATGCAGTTGGTTCAAGGTTGCCTGTTGAAACAAGGTAATGATCACGGCCTCGCCATAGGCCATATCGAAAATAGCCTCAAGATTTCTGAAAAACTATAACGGATTGTTTGATTTCGGACACTGATTGATGTCCATTAAAACCAGAGCTGTTAACATATGCTAATCATTTAGTTTTTACCCTTCTTTTCTTACGGATTATGGTAATTTTGTTTGCAGAAGTTACTACAGATGCACCAATCTAGAATGCAACGTGCGGAAGCACATGGAAAGAGCTTCGGATGATCCGAGAGCTTTCATTACAGCATATGAAGGTAAACATAACCATGAGATGCCACTTAGGAACACAGATCATGCAGCTGCCACCGATCCCACTCCCAACTCCGACTCGTCCGCAGTCGATGATGATAGCATAATGAAGAAGCTAGAGAGCTGTTTTCGGCTTCATATCCTGTCTCGTGAAAGGCTCGGATCGAGGACAGCTAGGGTCATGTCGAGGAGGTGATTATTGATTACCAAGCTTACAATATAGAACTTTCTCCTACAAAAGTTGCTTGATGATTTCCAGCCTTCTGTTTATTGCATTATTTTTTTATTGAAGTTTCAATTAAGATGTGTAAAATGCGAATTACTTGCGATTATTATACTTGCCGTTATCTTCTAACATCTTGTTTCTATCATCATGGGGTTCAATATTGTCAATACCAAAAATAAAAACTTTATTTACTGAAGAATGTATACCATTCTGTTGCACGTTTGATTATCAATCAACTTATACAAGTATACTTGGTTTCGGATTGATGCATAAAAGTGGCTTGCTTAGCTGTGGAACCACAAACCGAAAGGATAAAATGGTGCCGGAGCTACCCGAGACTGAAGTTCCCTTTGCGGTGGGTGCTCGATTTGGATTCGAGCTCGGTAGACTCCTCCTTTCCTTTTCCCTGCCATATCAAATATTCGAAGTTTACGAGCTTCAAATAAAGGCAAAGAAAATAGATATGCAACACTTTCCATACTCTAAACCTAATGGAAGATGTTAGAAAAATTGCAGGCACCATTAACTCTATTTCATGTCAGAGTAAAACCTGCAAAAACATGGAGAATTGGTGATGTAAAAATATTTACTTTGCTCTTATCGCGCCATCGAAGTCCGAATGACAATAGGTCCCCCACCTTTCTTTTAGCACTGTCGAGCTGAGTCCTACAAAAGCAAGCTGTCGTTATAAGATACGAACTACATCGATGTATTGGGAAACTCGTAGGAAGCTTTCCATTAAGCAAATAATATTCATGACATGCATAAATGATATTTCTAGATGCATCATAGCATTTTCCTGGTACTGAGTAGAGATTTCATATGGCCATAGTCGTCTTCATCAGCATCAAGATGACTGAAAACTTATCGAATTTTGAATATAAGGATAAAGATTTGGAGATATGGATCTTAATGTTTAGACTTCTCGATTTTTTCGTACGTAAAATAAGTGAAAGTTAAAAGAGAATGAAGCTTAAAACGTTTCTTACTCCTCAGAAGACAGTGTTCTAGTTTTGTCAGATTCGCTTAGCATGGTAGCCTCCAGCATTGATTCTGCTAAAGCTGCCCTCTTCTCCATCTCTGCAATAGAAGCCATAGCCTTCTCGTATTTTTCCTGCAAAGCACCTTTGATTGAGAATCAATATAGTCACAAATATCAGCTCCTATAGTGAAAGAATCGAAACAATCAAGCAAAGTACAACATATCGACTATTTGACAGCTTAACCAGCCATGAAGTTTTATGAAAATTTTTCCTATCAGTAGATAACATTTCTCGACACGAGTCTCATCACAAGAAAGATTTCCTAGCATGAAACTCAACTGAAAAACAGAACGAGTAAATTCCTGATTGGTGCATACTCGAATATCTTTCAATCCTACACGAAAAAGGATGAAATCTATAGGTTAACATTGTCTGTGATAGATTCGACATCCAGAGCAGATAAGAACCTGAAGCACAGCCACTGTCATTCTCTCGGCAACTGCATCTTGTTCTGCATGTTTGCGTCCTTCTTCGGTTATTATTTGCTCTTGCTCAAGCTGCACCAAAACCTGTACCATGTGGAAACTAAAAATCATTAAGGACTTGTAATAGAATAAGAGTTAAGCCATAGTTCCAAAAAAGAAAGAAAAAAGCACTCGAGGAGAGTCAAAATTATACCTTATTCACCGCAGCTTCTTGTTCTTTCTTATCGGCAAGAGCTTGGTGTAGATCGGCTATCTCTTGCTCTAACTCTTCAATCTGCAGCATTATTAACAAACTTCAAGTTCTGCTTGCACCTTGAGTAACCCAAAACTTACAATGCAGTATGAGAAGTATTGTCGTTGACCAAATCATATACGGGGAGGTATACCAAATTGTTACAAATAAGTTTACATGAACCTTTGCACTCAGTTCCCGTCGATTATCTTCTTTGACCAACTCCACAAGTGCTGTCTCCAATTCCTCAGCTCTGGAAAACAATGGGACCACAATTACAAGTAAAAAAGATAGGTTATTGAAGCATTTCGACCACATCGGAAACCAGTTATCCTAATTCTTGAAGTGGATTGCTAGCCGTACTTCCACAAGATGCAGTTTCATCCATCGCTATCACGAATGAAGTTGTTAGGTATGGCTCATAAATATACCAGTAAAGAGGACAGGAGATGGAGTGAGCGAAGCGAACATCAACTGTCTATACAAAGAAAGTCTTGTTGTGGGGTTACGAATTATGTGGGTTGGGGGTGCGGGGGCGCAGCCCCCGCGGTACGGTACATGGTTAATTTTGTAATTATGTACCAGGGTTTTCTATTATAAATAGAGATGTAACCTAGACCTAAAACATCATTGAATAAAAACTTCTAGCGCCGCCTAGGCACCGAGGACGTAAGCACATTGCCGAACCTCGTAAATTCTCGTGTTCTTTTGTTTTCTTTACCCGTTTTCGCCAACAATTGGTATCAGATGTCAGGAGCAAAATTCGAAGTCGCGAAATTCGATGGTCAGGGTAACTTCGGATTATGGCAAACGAGGGTGAAGGATCTATTGGCGCAGCAAGGGATCTTGAAGGCTTTGCGATCTACAAAGCCGGCGTCGATGGATGAGGAAGATTGGGAAGAATTGCAGCAGCGAGCGGCAGGAACCATACGATTATGCTTGGCGGACGAGGTCATGTATCACGTCATGCATCTATCGTCTCCAGACGAAATTTGGAGGAAGTTGGAAAGTCAGTTTATGTCCAAATCCTTAACGACAAAACTGTATCTGAAGCAGAGGCTGTATGGGCTGAAGATGCAGGATGATCACGATTTGGCGCAACACGTGAATGTCTTCAATCAAATCGTTTCTGATCTGGCTCGGCTTGATGTGAAAATTGAGGATGAAGACAGAGCGATGATTCTGTTGTGTTCGTTGCCTCCCTCTTACGAACACATGGTGACTACTCTTACATATGGGAAAGAGACTATCAATGTTGAGGAGATTACTGCAGCCTTGTTGGCTCACAACCAGCGGAAGCAGAATGCAGGGGAAAGCTCTCAAGCCGATAGCTTATATGTCAAGGGTAATCGAGATCGTGGACGGAAGCCAGAGAAGGCAGGGTCTGGGAAGCGGAATTCCAGATCCAAATCCAGGGATAAGAAGACGATTCACTGTTACAAGTGCAAGGAGGCGGGACATATGAAGCGAGACTGTCCGAAGTTGAAAAAGCAGACTGATGAGAAGCGTGATGGCTCATCCAAGTATGTGAATGTGGTCGAGGATGATAATTCTGATTGCAGTGAGGGTGATATGCTTTCTATTTCAACGACACAATTGACGGATGCTTGGATTCTTGATTCTGGATGTTCTTATCACATCACGCCAAATAGGGAATGGTTTTCGACATACAGGCCGGTTAATTCTGGTTCAGTTTATTTGGGTGATGATCGATGTTGCAATATTGTTGGTATTGGTGATGTCAGAATTAAGATGCACGATGGCTCCGTTCGGACGTTGAGTGGTGTTCGACATATCCCAGACTTGAAGAAGAATTTGATTTCCTTGGGCACTTTGCACAAGAATGGTTTTATCCCTATGGCTGACGAGGATAGGGAAACCATTCGGATTGTTAAAGGAGCATTGACTGTGATGAAAGGCAAGATGACTGCAGGGAATATCTACAGATTGTTAGGGAGTACCGTTGCAGGTGGAGTTCACTCTGTTGAGTCCTGTGATGATACGACAAAATTGTGGCATATGCGCCTTGCTCATCTTAGTGAACGTGGTATGGCAGAATTACACAAGAGAAACTTGTTGCATGGTGTCAAAAGCTGTAAGCTCGACTTTTGCAAGTATTGTGTTCTTGGTAAACAGACTAAAGTCCGTTTCAAGACTGCGAAGCACACAACTCAAGGGATTCTTGATTATGTGCATTCTGATGTATAGGGGCCTTCCACGACATCGTCTTTGGGTGGATCTAGGTACTATGTTACTTTATTGATGATTTTTCACGGAAAGTTTGGGTGTATTTTTTGAAACAGAAATCTGAAGTTTTTGAGAAGTTCAAGCTGTGGAAAGCTGAGGTAGAAAACCAAACAGGACGAAAAATCAAGTGTTTGCGGTCTGACAATGGTACGGAGTACACAGATTCACAGTTCCTACAATTCTGTAAGGAGCATGGGATTCAGAGGCATTTTACAGTGCGCAAGACACCACAACAGAATGGTGTTGCGGAACGAATGAACAGGTCGTTGAATGAAAGAGCCAGATGTTTGCGGTTGAATGCGGGGCTTCCCAAACACTTCTGGGCTGAGGCTGTTAACATGGCGTGTTACCTTATCAACAGATCGCCAAGGGCATCGCTGGCTGCGAAAGTTGCAGAAGAGGTATGGACTAGTCATGATGTTAGTTTTGATAACTTACGGATTTTTGGTTGTCCTGCTTATGTGCATGTACCTGCTGATGAGAGATCCAAACTTGATGCAAAATCGAAGGAGTGCATTTTTCTGGGTTACAAGAAAGGTGTCAAAGGATTCAAGTTCTGGGATCCAGTTGCGAAGAAAGTTGTGATTAGTAGAGATGTCGTTTTTGATGAACAATCCATGTTGCAGCAGAAGCAAGACACGACAGTGGTGGATTTCGAGCAGTTTCCAGTTGAGAAACCAGAAACTTCTCAACCGACTTCTGGTGGTTCCACTACGGATGATTTGCAGGATTATAGTCTCGCCAGAGACAGGGTGAGACGGACGAATATAAAGCCTCCGAACAGATTGGGTTTTGAAGACTTGGTATCTTTTGCACTTATTGTTAGCAGTGATGATCCGGTTACTTTTCATGATGCCGTTACTAGTCAGGAAAACGACAAGTGGATGGCAGCCATGGTTGAGGAGATGGAGTCTTTAAATCATAATCGCACATGGGAGTTAGTTCCCCTTCCTGAGGGTAAGAAGCCGATTGGTTGCAAATGGGTGTATAAGAAGAAACCAGTAGTAACAGAAAAAGAGGGGGAGAAGTTCAAGGCTCGTTTGGTAGCGAAGGGTTTTTCACAGCAGAAAGGAGTTGATTATGATGAAATCTTTTCTCCTGTGGTCAGGCATACTTCAATCCGAGCAGTACTTGCATTGGTGGCTAGTTGGGATTTGCATTTAGAGCAGATGGATGTTAAAACTACATTTTTGCATGGTGATTTAGAGGAGCAGATCTACATGCGGCAACCTGAAGGTTTCACTCAACCTGGAAACGAGCATTTAGTTTGCAGATTGAAGAAATCTTTGTACGGGTTGAAACAGTCTCCGAGACAGTGGTATAAACGGTTTGACTCCTATATGATCAAGATTGGCTACAACCGATGTGAGTATGATTGTTGTGTCTATGTTAAGAGCCTTGATGATGGTTCTTTTATTTTTGTATTACTGTATGTTAATGATATGTTGATTGCTGCGAAGAACATGGATGATGTTATCGGTTTGAAAACTTTATTGAGTCAGGAATTTGATATGAAAGATTTAGGTGCTGCAAAGAAAATTCTTGGAATGGAAATTTGCAGGGACAGAGACTCAAGGAAACTGCGGCTATCTCAACGGGGTTATGTTGAGAAAATGCTAGAAAGGTTTGCGATGAGCAGCGCAAAACCAATTAGCACTCCATTGGCGAATCACTTTAAGCTCTCATCAGAACAGTGCCCCATGACAGATAAGGAAGCTGAAGATATGGCAAAGGTTCCGTATTCTAATGCTGTTGGCTGCTTGATGTATGCGATGGTATGTACTCGTCCTGATTTAGCTCATGCTGTTAGTCAAGTTTGTAAGTACATGTCTAAACCTGGTAAGCAACATTGGGAAGCAGTCAAGTGAATCTTTCGGTACTTAAAGGGTACTGTGGGACATGGAATTGTTTTTGGGAGTCAGCGGGATAATCCTTTGGTTGTAGGATATGTGGATTCAGACTATGCAGGTGACTTGGATACTAGAAGATCTACGACAGGGTATGTCTTTACTCTTGGTGGAGGGCCTATTTGTTGGAAGTCTACTGTTCAATCTATTGTGGCTCTATCTACAACTGAAGCTGAGTACATGGCAGCGGCTGAAGCTGCAAAAGAAGCTTTATGGCTTACTGGTTTAGTGAAGGAGTTGGGTGTTCAACAAGGTGGAGTTCAGTTGCTTTGTGATAATCAAAGTGCTATTCACTTGGCTAAGAATCAGGTGTATCGTGCTAGAACTAAACATATTGATGTAAGGTTCCACAAGATCATAGAGTTGGTTGCATCTGGAGAGGTTTTGTTTCAGAAGGTACATACTGATGAAAATGCCGCTGATATGTTCACTAACCGAAAACGGGTAAAGAAAACAAAAAAACACGAGAATTTTACGAGGTTCGACAATGTGCTTACGTCCTCGGTGCCTAGGCGGCGCTAGAAGTTTTTATTCAATGATATTTTAGGTCTAGGTTACATCTCTATTTATAATAGAAAACCCTGGTACATAATTATAAAATTAACCCTGTACCGTACCGCGGGGGCTGCGCCCCCGCACCCCCAACCCACATAATTCGTTACCCCACAACGAGACTTTCTTTGTAAGGACAGTTGATGTTCGCTTCGCTCACTCCGCTCCATCTCCTGTCCTCTTTACTGGTATATTTATAAGCCATACCTAACACAAGGAAAAGGCGGTTCTGGAGAGGGAGCATTGCCTGTGCTGCTTTCTTCTGTAGTTAGAATCTCATTAACACAGACCTTTTCCTCAAACTTGTCATCAGATTCTCAATCCGGAAACCTTTCGTCTTTGATTGACGGAAGATGATCTCCGCTTTCACTCATGTACTTCATTTCCTTTCCCTTCTTGACCCTTGATTCCATCATATTCTCAATGGCACAAATAGCTGGTCTATTCTTAGCCCATCTTTTAACATGATATGTCTTCGTTTCTTCCGCGAGCTGCACTTCCCTTTCTCCTTCACTCTCTGTCGCATAACCCGAGAAGGGCCCTTCCGCATCACTTTCTGGCGAACCAGGTTTCGCAGTCGGAGCATCTCCATCGTCGCTCCCTTCTGAAGCA